GAGTATACTGCTAGCGACGAGGTACGCATGAAGGTGTAGAGCATAGGAATTGCAATGGGTGACGAGGGACTGGAGGGTGTGAATGGGGGGCGGCTGGTAGAAGAGATGTAAAGAGGAAGTGGAGGGCTGGTGAAAGTCCAAGGGTCAAAAGCAAACGTAGTGAGAGCGCTCGTCGAACGTTAAAGGAGAAAGTATAGTTATACATTTATAAAGTTATCGATAACGGCGACTATCAATCACGATCGGGATCTCCTCTTATTCATCTGTCAGAGTCAGAAAGGAGAAGATGGCTAGGAGATATGGAGAGATGAGAGTTGAGAGATATCCTCTGCCGACATTAATTTTAATTCACTTCATTCCTGAGTTTTCTTCATCCCCTTTCCAAGGATTGCATGAAGTCTAGAAATGAATGTCCAATCGATATATAATATACTTATATAATGTATATAATATTTGACATACATGGTAAAATGTTGCTATCTAATTGTAGAAACTGCTTGAGAAATATGAATGATAATAAAATGTCAGCCAAGTTTCCCTTGAGAAACTAGAAATTGTTTGTACAAATAAGGCTTTCTAGTCCACGTTTAAAGAATATTAATCAGACAAAATTTATATTCTTAGACTAGTAGCATCTAGAAATTGAAAGATCAGGTATATAAATACGTAAATCGCGAGTCAAGGTAGCATCTTGATTTTTTTCCATAGATATACTTCCTTTCCTTTATTTCGGGTACCACGATGATAAATTTATCGCTATGGAAATTCCGACCATGTTTGACGTCATTTTATTAATTTAATTTTATAACGATGCAATTTATTTTTCACTTTGCAAGTAGAAATATTATTTCATAAGGATCACTGGGATTCTAACTGAGCTTTGTCAATGTTATGATTACTATCTATTTGCGATAGACTATATAGGTATCATCCATTCTCTTTTCCCAGACGATACCCTACTGAAATTCTACCACGTATTAGAAAGTTACAATAAAATATACACTAGAATATCAGGACCCCTCTTCGAGAGTCTGATAAATAATTGTTTCTATTATATTCGACGGTAGAGGTACCTATGGTAATAAAAACATTTTTGAAGTACAAAAACGACGCAAAGTATACATATAGCATAGTGACGTCATAAAAATGATAAAATCAAAATTTAGTGCTAAATATGATGTCACTAAAGGAGTACTTATACAACACTATGGCCATCCTTATTATTTATTGATTCAATAAACAATATTATTATGACGGTATTCATACAAAATATATCGTTGAAAGAATTATTTCTTGATATACTATTTAGAAATCTAATACATTATACACTATTTTTGATATAGTACAGAAATCTCAAGAGAACAACAATTATTATATTTTTGATAGGATGTATTTCTTTACAAGTAAATAGATGTCTTTAAACCTCCAATTTTCACTGTCACAATATACTCGAATGACACGTCTTTAAAAATTATACATAAATTGATTAATTACCATTATGGAGGATTACAAGATTACATAATTAAACCATCATTTCACAAGGCGCACACTATCATGTTTCTTGCTACTGAAATTTCGTGCAGAGACACTATCTTTGTATTTACCTAAATTCATTCCATCAAAAAATGTAGTAATTCTATTGTTTACGTAAGATTTCAACACATTCGAGAGTCTGTACTTGACTGCCATTTATAACAGAATAATACAAAGGATGTTATCATTCAGCTTATACTATTGTTTCTGAAAGGGTTTCCATTGATTTTGTTTTGATTTGATTTTGTTTTTGTTCCATTGATTTTCCTTGGTGCCTAAGATACTGCATAGTCGCGACGATGTTATCATGAAAGTTGTATATTGGATTAATGGAGTTTTATCACGTAGCATTACAGTACTGTTACATAGAATAACGTTACTACTGTATCTACCATGTACTTTGATACGAATCCGGGTTTATTCTGTTCATTAAGATTGGGATGTCGTCGGATTGGATGTACGTAATTTTCTGATGAAACCAAAGTAAATGCGAGCTTCTGTGCTTTCATTGACAGCGCAGTAAAGCTGCGTGAGAATAGGGATAAGAGTACGTGGATTCTCTGGGTTTCTGGCTTTCTAGACGGTTGACAGCGTAAGGGAAAATGTATATACATTTTCCTCTATTTATATACCATATATATTGTAGCTATTTATACATGTATGTGTATAAGGAAACAGGAAGTTGGGTAGAGGAGAGAATTTCTATTGGTAGTTTCCTATCGTTGGTGTGCCGTCGACCCCCGACTGTGTGTCGATTGTTTCCTACAGGAAAGCAGAAAATCCAGAGGGAATTTTCTTCATCCCTTATACTGTTACTATTACTGCCACCGTCAATACCATCAGGACTGCTTCAATGGGAACATAGCGTATAAAATACTGCTCTTTCTCTTTGGTTGATTTTAATGCTCCTTGGCAACCGGATCTTCCCAATTAGACGTCTTCAATTATTCTTGCAACTTATATTCTCCATTAATGTGAGTAACAAGTTATTCGAGTTGCGTCGTTCTTAGTAGTATCTGTAGTGCATTGGAGTAAGAATTTTCAAATTTTACATATTGATATTGAATTAGGCGATGAAAAAAATCGTAGCAATTTCCCCGGCATAATTTAACAATATCTGCCACTAAGAATTCGCAGCTCTCCGGAGATAACTCAACTAATTCTCAATTTCCGAGCTCGCTTTCCAGGGAAAATTACCAGAACGCCTTCCTTAATCATCCCCAAGGACCCTCTGTGGTAAAACGGGGACAAAGGAAAGTCGCGTCTGCGCAAGATACGGCTATTTATCGGGTTGGGAAAAATCTCAGCTGGAAATCGCGAGCGAATTCAACCTGATTGGCAAAAGCTGTCCTAATCCTCGAGGTTTCGGCAGAAGGGGTGACTGTAAAGGGGGTGGCCGCCAGTCAGAGTCAGATTAGACGAAATTAGCTTTGCTTCCCCGTTAGCCACTGATTTTACGATAAAGGAACAAAGGACTGTCGCATTGAGCGTTACGTCCCAACCCTCAAAACCAGTCCTAACCCACCTAGCATCTACTTACTATCTGAATGCGTACGTACCTTCCCACCCAACACCTACCTGTCTCCTTACCACCGCTCAATTGGCAACATCCCACGAGTCTCGAATGTCGTGCGCGAGGGTTGAAATTTGCGCGAGACGCGATTACACAAAAGATATTCCCTTTGTGCCTGACGTGTACCGACGACGGGGTCACATGGAACCTTTTGGATTTTGAGGGTGTACCGGGTGCTGTCGAGGGTGGTTGCCAAGTAGGGAAGGTAATGGGAAAGAGGGAGTCTCGCTTGATGCTGATGGTGCAAATTAGAAGCTTGCTATTCCCATTCAGACGTGTACAGGCGTATGCATATTTATGCGCTATGCGTGTGTATATAACTACGCATATACTTCCCTGTCTGTCTGACGTTGGGATATATATCTGCTATATACAAATGAGAACCGTGTCTGTCAATATTTATTACTTTATTACGAATTAGATGTTGCAATTTTTTATGCAGCTTCATTCATCTTTTCAATCGTTTGCTCGTGCTCCAAATTTTATTAACCCTTAAATGCATGAATTTTTACTTTTATTAAAAACAAAAGTAAATAAGTCCAAGAACGGGATGATTTCATTCGGGTACCAGTGATGGACTTTAAAATGATTGGCATCATGTTTGATACTCTATGCACTTAAGGGTTAAAAACACTGAGTAGTGCGTTCATTGAATGTTATAACGTGGCCAATATTTTATTCGAGCACCGAGTTTGTTTTACTGAAAATAATAACAAATTATGTACAATGTTCATGATGGGCATATTTCGTTCCTTTTGTAATACACTAGTTAAAGACCAGTTTCATAGTTGTGAAGGCAGCTTGCGTCAAAGACCTGGACGACTAGGTTCCAACCTGTAGGATTTAAGTAGGATTGACCAATCATATGCAATAATAAAGAAGAATATGCAAATATTCTTCTTAAATGTTCTACACTAGTTAATCCTACTTCCATGATGGAAACGTAATTAATAACAGCTGGACCAACAAAATGCTATTAATTGTATGTTATACGTAAGTGATGTCAAACCATAAGGGATCCCTAACATGCGAAAGCATAAGATTTTAGAATTAAAACATACGATACAACTGATAGAAGATCTTTATTTGATTGGTTCTTGTGTATTCTAGAAATCGTATGTGTAATTTCTTACGTCTTAGATTTTCTTATGTGCGAAATCCCTAAATACTAAATCCAACGTTGGTTTAAGGCTGCTATTTACCAATTCCATGTGTATGCACATAGCCGGAGTGAAAACGTTATGCGTGAGTTATTCTAAATAATCCATTTCTCCTTGGCTTTTAATAAAAATGTCAACATTTTAATTAACTAATTTCCTGCGTATGAAAAAATTTTCAGCTTAGTTTTGATTAAGCTCATTGTGTGCTTTAATTTAAAGATAATGAAAAACATTAAAAAATCAAGCAGAGCAATAAACACCAACTGCCATGGCAGTTCGACAAGTCGAATAAAAAATTTTGTTTTAATACGTTATTATTGAAAAAAAACTCATTTTATTCCTAAGAAAGGTAAAGCAACATTTTTTTATGTACGTAAGACGACTACATATTTCAATGATCTAATAAAACAAATTGAAAATAATTATATACGATTCCCCGTTTGTGACGTCGTAATTCCATGTACATGTGCACTAATGAAATAAGTAAACAGCAGCTCTAAATAAAAAAATAATTATCCTTCGACTTTGTAACGTGTGTTAAATTTATTTTATGGTAGGTAAGTTTCGAGGGAATCATATTTTGTTTTTCAAATTATTCGTCTACCCAGTATACATACTGTAACGTGTATACATATATAAAACATTTTATAGTCTTGGTCTACCTTTACTATACCGTACTTGACTCGAGATTTCAGTGACTCTGATGATTAAGTACTATCTTTCGTTTGTTTCAGGTAAGCCGAGTAACGTCATACACGAGTATTCTCACAGTAAGTTATCACTTTATCAGTATTAAAAATAAAGTTAAACACGTCCCGTAGTGAGTATCGCTTTGGCGAAGTGTCCTCAGGAAATAGTTTCAATTCCAAACACGTGGAGTTTTCTTTTGGAAAGTGCTTTGACTCGAGTGAGTACAACGACCTCACGTGTTGTTGTGGCAAGATCGAATCTTCTTCAGGACAAGTGGCAAAGGGAATAGATAGGAATTGCGACCGTAAAAGATGGAGCTATAGGTGGAGCTAAGGAATAAGTGGAACTAGATGTAGGGAAAGGGTAAGAAAGTCGTTTATCCGGTAAGGGTCTCCCGTGGCCATGTTTGCGAGAATTGTGAATGGTCACGGAAGTGTTGGAGGGTAGTAGGGAATTCAAGAGGGTTGGACGGTAGTCTCCTGGTTGCGACGTGACGTCACACGGGGTTCGTCTTTCCACCTTCTCGGATCGATGTTCTCTCGTTCCTGTAAGTTCCAGAGGTTCCATGGAACTACCACCTTATTTCCACCATCCTATCGAGCTCCATCACAGGCAGGCATTGGCGCCCTTCCTTATACTTCTCTTAAATCCAAACCAACGCCTACTGTTCCATGAATACATACATGAGTCCCTGAATGAGATATTTAATCATACCGTCAAGTTCAATAATTGTCACTTCCCGTTGGAAAGCTTTGATTTTATCATTTTTTTTTCTTCAATTCTCTTTGCCCCATGGGAGATCGACGTGGCTTCGTTTTTATTACAATACGAAAAAGTTGTCTTGGAGTGATTTCCATTTTGGGCGAATGGACCGATAGATTCTTCGATAACTCTTCCATTATCCAGAAATGATCAATATTTTCATGAATTCTATAAAGTCGGATATCTTCTGTAATAAAACTGATTTTGTAGTTTTCGAATGATGCAGTCAGATTCGCAGTGAGTCGATACTAGATACCGTGCAGAGGGGAATTTTGGGGAAAAATCGTTAAAGCTTCTTTTCCAAAGGGGAAGGATGGATAAAGTAAGGATGGAATCGCAAATCTTCTACTTCGCTTTCCGGTCATAAATTCTCTCTCCTGGGGACGATTAGGTAATACCTTCTTATTAGCTTTCCTGCTACACTGTGAAAAGGCGACTGGGAATGGTATACGCCCTTATTAATGTCTTTCGTATCGAGGTGAGATTCGAGAATATTTAAGGTAGTATAGTCGATTTTGGCTGAAGTGAAATAAGTCAAATAGCCATATACAATTTGCTAAATTTCATAAAACAAATAAAAAAATATATTGAAAATGTGAATTTAATACTGGCAAATAATTATTCTGATAAATAAATCATAATACTTACTGAACGGCCAAATCTCCAACGCATTTTTTCCCTAGCGTTTAGGCTTGGGGAAAAGACACGCGAAAGAGAGAGTCAGCCGCTGCATGCGTTTCGTTTAACAGTAATTTGTTAATAAGTATACGGTAAATGATGTTCCGTATTTTACAGTAAACGCCTTAGATAGCCAGCTATCTGGATATATATTCTAACGCATAGCTTAACCTGTGAACTTCTGCTAAAATTAAGGAAATTTGACTAAACATAAACATTTTTTCCCCACCACCTTAATTTAGCACAACTTTAATAATTAATATCTTTTTAACTAGACAGTAAATACATTTTTTTGAGCCAGCAGACGCAGTTGTTTCAGATCTTTCGATTAGGCATTCAAATATGTAGGATCAACTTTCTAGCATAATTCTACCATACTACCTTAACTAAAGCCTTTCTTACATTCCTAAAGGTAATGAAATAAAGATTTGACCTAGGAATCTCATCCTATAGCCACGTGGTAAAATCGAAAACTGAATTGTGACACCGGGGATGTCTATGGGGTTCAAAGTATACATATAAAAAGTCTTATTGGAATATTCTGTGTTATAAAAAGATGAAATATAATAAGTTGGGTGAAAATGACGTTGAAGCTTATAAGGAGATGAGATGCGAAGAAAGGATGAATGTCGAGAATGAGGGTAAAGTAGGGTAGGGGGATAGGGCGAGGGGGCCGAGTTTTTGGCGTTCGAGGAGACGAGGCGGGTGGTAAGATAGAGGCCTGGATAAAATATGGGGGTAGATTTAAACAAATCATCCTTCGTTCCCTCCACCACTTAAATGCGTTACCACTTTATGTTGCGACGAAGGTGGGCAAGAAATAGGGGGGAGAGAAGAAAAAAAGTGAAATGACGCAAGACAAAATAAAAGGAAGCAAGAGAAAAGTTTTTGCCACTACTTCAAGACTCACGACGACGTGCTTTTACGTTCATTTTGAAAAATTTGCCTACTTCCTCACACATTTGACTTGCATACGAGAACTTCGCGAAGTTCAGCTTCCCGAGATATAAACGCCACCGGGAACACTTTACACTTTTATCACGGAAAGACTCTGCTTTGCAATATTAATTTTCGCGTGAGATTCATTTGTACTTTGATAACAATTTTTTTTTCTTTCTCTTGGTTTTTCATAAAAACTTCTTTCACCACATCATATACCTACCGACCTTGTGGGAATAGATTTTACTTTTAAAATATCGTGATAATGTATGTACATACGTGCACGTGAGCACGTATACATACATGTATACGTGTTTCCCATATAGATTCATTGAACGAAGAGTTTCGATAAGTTACCGAAAATCCATAAAGGTGACTTATTGCGTGAAATTCTAACTTATGTCTCATTTCTTACTGTGCTTAACCACTTAAACGGTATGAATTTTCGAAATCGGTGTCGAAAGTCATTGAGAGAGGCGCGCGTGTAGCACATGCCTTATAGGCGCGTAAATCCGTAACGATTTCAAATTGCATAGGTTACTTTACGTACTGACATAACACGCAACACGTTACAGCGATGTAGGGTCGTTTGAAAGACTAATATATTAGAAAATACGAAAAAGGAGATTCTCTTTACTCGGAAGTTGTGTATGAGTTTACCCAGAAGCTTTACGAGCTTCGAAGAGCAACTACGGAAAGTCACGATGCGGCGCAAGTATACTCTAGCCAGTATAAACGCATAGGACAACAGTGCTGTGTGCAGTGGATAAATATAGTGGAGCTACTGCAATCTCCCAACAGACAGATAAAGTTCAGCAAGCTCCAACGGCAAGCGTCCACAGTTCTGTTCTCTTCGTAGCTACCTAACCCACGGTTACCTTGGCTATTTGGTTTACCTTCGATCTATCCACCTTTAAGCTACCCTTATGCTTTAACGTATTATCCACTAACAATAAGTAACCCCTTAACCGCGAACCACTACCACAACCAGACACATTCACAAGTCCCGTCTACGTACCCTCAACCCGAAAATGGAAGCTTTTGAAATTGTAGAAGATGCCTGCATTTTCTTGTACATCGACAAGGCTACCTCTTGCGAGATGTGGTACAAACGTAATATAAAAGCTGATCCGGTCGATTCACTAGAAATTTCTCGAAAAATTTCTAACGCGCTATTTTCATACTTATTTTTACCGAGACTAGTAGCAATTTCTACGTGTGACGATGGTAGGGAAAGGTCATGTTGATATATATATCTTGAGTAGAAACGCTCGCCAATATATCGCAAGAATGGGCAGCACATAACTCAAGAGGAAGCGCGTTCCATCCAGCTCGTGTAGCTGAGACGGAGTATAGGTAGGTAGGTTGGTAGGTAAGAAGGCTGAAGGGTGAAAGAAGGTGATGAGGGGTGTGTTGCTCGGTGGGTCCATACTGGTGTAGGAGGAAGCGGAACTGAAGAAATAAGAAGAATAAGACGAAGAGGGAGTACGGAAGGGACACCATAGGTTAGGCTAGGGGGTTGGCGGGTGGTAAGGAAGCGGGTATACAGGGGTTGAAAATGGAGTCTGAGCACAGTCTTACTTAAGCCCTGGTAGTTTGTAAGGGCGCCCTGGAGGCTGCGTTCGCTCCGTCATTACTCCCGACTTCTTCATCTTACCCCACATTTATAACTGTCTCCTACCTCCGGTTGCGCTTCTTGGACCAGGTCTTTCAGGCACGTACCTAGCTACCTACGGTCCTTCGTGCCCGATGGTTAGGTAACGGCCTTGAGAGAAGGGTAGTTACCCCGTGGCTTGGTTTGCCTTGTCACCTCTGCTGCTGGTTCCACGTTTACAGGATAGAAGCTGCCACCCACTCAGGAGGGTATTTTTGCCACCTAATCCTTCTTATCAGTTGAACGCACGGCAACATCCCCCTCTTAGTATTTTTATCTATATTCCCATGGAAAATTTAACGGGGGTGAGACCTCACCCTTGCACCTTTCAACACTTCTCTGAATTCTGATAACGGACTTGTCCGAGGATTTTTTGATTTATCGGCGATTTAATAGAATTCTTCGATATCCTATATTTTTGGGAATAGCATAAAGAAAAATTAAGCAGGTAGAATGGAATGTCGCAGGAATAGAACGTTTCATTTATGGAATTTCACAAGGTTTCTGAATATTTTTCTTTAGGATGTACCGAATTACGAGTACTTTATATTTTTGTACGTTGAGTTATCAATTATTATTTATGACGCGTAACGAAATGAAATATTTTGTTAAACTAAGGGGCGCGCGTCATATAAAAAATGTAAATTTCAGAAAATTTCAGATACTCTGGCAATCTGTTCAACGTATAAATTTGTGGCATTTGTGTGAAAAATGAAACTAGTGGTGAAAGTGGGAAGTAGTAGTAAAAGAGAAATGTGAGGATAGACACGAGAAACTTTGGACCCTCACGTCGCACTGGAAAGAGTCATAGCTAATTCAAAAACTCCTCGGCTATTCATGGCAAAACTTCAGCAACCTTTAACCCTTTTTCGCAAGTCCGTAGGGCCTTGGGGGATTACGGATTTGGGGTGGCGGCTGAAAGCCAAGGACTCGTGGTATTTTAGTATCCCGTGCTCGAGTGTTGAAAAGGGTAGAATAGTAGAGTAGAAATTAAAATTGCATAATTCAAACATGTCCGCTGCGATTCGATTCAATTGTGAAACATAC